ATGAGTAAAAGTCACTGTACCTGCAACAACTTGAAGAGTAATGTTACTGAGTGAACAGTTTCCTGGACTGTCTGTAGTCTTCATACAGCAGTAAGCGTTTGCATCACTCTCTCTTAGATCATTGATGGTTAAAGTTGACTTTTTCTCTTCAGACATGTTGTACGTTACACGTTGTCCATCCACAGAGAGCTCACTCTTTGATCCATTCAAGTGTGCAGTGAACCATTTGCTGCTTGAGGTCAGATGTTGATGTGAGCAGTGCAGATCCACTGATGAACCTTTGAGAGCACAGATCCTGGTTTCTCCTCCATTAACACCTTTAACAGGAAGTTTATTAGTAACAGATTTATTAGAGATTTGCTTATTAGATTGCTGTTATTACCTGTTTTTTTTCCTTTTTTTTCATTAATCATTAAATAATAATGTTATATATTTGTACTGTAAAATCTTAGATGAATTTACAAAGTGTTGCTTAAATGATGCAGTATCAATCTAAAATAATTCAAACAATACAAACAGCTCTAGCTCCATCTTGCTGGGTCAACTTCTCTCTTTCAGTGTGAATGATGAAAATGATGCCAAAAATGACACATTCAGCTGTCTAACACATCGTAGCAAAGTTTAACTTCCTTCTTTCCTTTTGTCTTTTCTTTGTATGTGCATGTTGTGTCTTTTTACCTGAAATATTTTGTGCAATTATTCCTCCTATAATGATGTTTTATCTGTATTTTACTTATTATAGGTTGTCTTTAATCACAAGTTACTGTTCAAAGAGCAGAAAGCTGCAGAGGTGTTAAAACTGTTGTCTGTATCTGGTTTATGATGGAAACATGTCTGTGGTGACAAAGAATCTCCAGGCTGAAGCTCAGTGATCAGCATGAACGGCTGTGATGATGTAGACCTTCCTCTGCTGTCAAGCTGCAGCTGCTCTTTGTATCAATGTAAAGGATCATATTTATTATCGAGCAACCTAAAAACTAATCTAGCCTAAAAAACTCTGACATGTTTCCGCAATCAAACCTCTGTCATAGAGTTTGAAAAGTTTTTGTTGACATCACTGTTTTCTGGTTGTTTTACTAGAATAACTGTCAGGGCTCGGAGTGGACTATTCCAGTAATGATGTCGTACCAACAAAATATTTATACAGTGAGCTGAAAGGAGGCCATTTCTGATGTCTTTGTATATTGACATCATCTCAGACTCCAGCTTTCTGCTCGGTTGTTGTTCAGTTTCCCCTGAACTGCTTTAACATTCATTAGCTCACTTCAAGAGCTCATCAAAGCGGAAACTTTAAGTCCTGCTGATTAACAGTGAATCTCATGTTTTCTAACATCCTTTAATAACTTTCCAGAGTTTTCCTACGTTTAAAACATTCATCCATGAATGCTTTAGGAGGAGAAACATGTATTCCTACCTGAGACAAACTGAATGAATCCCCAAACTAAAAATCCAACTTCTGCCGAGATCATGACTGTCAGATTTCAGCTTCTAGTCAGAAAGTTAAGTGCATTGTTCGTCACACATGCTTAAAAACCCGAACTGACACGTACTAAAGTCAGTTCGGCCAAATATAAACTGCAGCTTTAACACCATCAAACTTCCTCCTGCATGGTGTTTTTTAGAAAGAGCAGACTTCTTAAGCTTAAATTTAACTTGTGAAGTTTTTTTAAACAGCAGAAATTTCTACATTTGCCTGACTGAGGCTGGAGAAGTGTGAAGCTTAGTGTTTTTCTTTCTTTTAAGTAAACAGTTCCTGCCAAGCAAGGGAACAAACATGCTTTATTTGTTTTGAGAACAGCAGTAATCAGTAGTATTATTTTCATACATACACAATTTAAAAAAACAACAAAAGTAAAGCTTAAAAAACACCTCATCTGATCTCAATGGGGAAAGCGTCACAGTGGATATCTATACTGATACAGACTGATGCCACATTGTTTGATGGAAATGAAAACCATCAACCTTCAGAGGGCTGAATTTGATGGAAGTCTGTTTCTAATTGTTTGGTTAATAACATTAACATCAGAGGCCTACTGGAGGTCATTTTGTAGGGCTCTGGCAGTGCTTGCTTTCCTAGTTCTCTCCCACATGGTTGCCCACAAATGTGCCCACAAAATGAAACATTTCAGTGGAAATTTAATTGCTTACCACCAATTTGTCGTGGTTTCCTGGTGGTTGGCCTTTTTTTCCCTGTAGTGTGACCGAGGCCTAATCTACAGCACATCGCTGAACAATTCTGGGAATCTGGAGAAAACACTCTGGGCTAGGGACAAGACAAAGACAACACTTAAAGGCCTGTGATCTTTGGCCTTTCAGGCAGGGCTGCAATGAAAATATGCAAGATTCTGTCATGGAAATCACTGCATGGGTTTGGGAATAATTCCAAAAAACACTGTCAGTGAACAAATTTCATTCCTTTATGGTCACTCAAAGTAAAACTCAGCAATACAAACAGAAAATAGAGACCAATGTCAATTAATATGTCCGACCACCTCCTTTCACAAAATGTACTTCAGGGCAGCTGGATAGTATAATGGTAAGACCACACACCTTTGGAGCGGAGAGCTCAAGTTTGATTCCCTCCTGGTATCCAGCAAGGGACCTGGCTAGGTCCCCCATACCCTAACACCATGTCTGCTGCTCGGACATGATACATTTAAAGGCATGTTGTACTCTGTATGTGACCAATAAAGCTAGTTTCTTCTTATTCTCTGGGAATCACGCTTTCATTCCTCACTTCTTCTTACTTATCAGTTTTTCAGGTAAATTCTCTCTCTTTTTCTTTTTCTTTTTTTTTTTTTTGGTGTCCCGTTTGGATCTTTAGCCATCAGAATTGTTGTCTTAAGGCCAAGAAAGATGCCAAGCGGATTTATTTTACCAAGTGGATCATCATGGCCTTGCCAGGTTGGTCCATTTGATTGACCT